AATTTTGCTCCCTGGAATTTTACATTGAGTTGAGCTCCTGGTTGTGGAGCCTTCAGTTTCCCTGAGATTCTGCCCAAAGGGAGACGCCCTGTGTCTGCATGAGAGTGTGAATGTGTAAAGCAATTCTTCCCAGTGCTGGGTCACCCAAAGACTGCCTTCTTCAGGCCCGGGCAGGGAGATATGGTAGAAAATCGACAGAAAACTGAGGTTTTGCTTGTTTTAGCGAACATCCAGGCATCTTTAGGAGTTGGGCACTGCTGGCTTTTCTCAAAGGCATTTGAGAAGCATGGATGAGCCTGATCCTGGTGCCTGCCTACCTGAGTGAGGTCTGAGAACACTGTGCCTAACAGAGGAGGGGTAGTGGTGCTAGATTCCCGAGGGTGCTCCCCTGGACTGTGCATGACTCAGGTGATGGCCGCAGAATAATTCTGACACTTGTTGGGGTTGAGGATATACTAGGCGCTGAGTCGGCACTGACTCATCACAGTCATCCTTCACTCTGCTCACTTATTAGCAATTTGGCAAAAGATAGAAAATGTAATGGCTTCTATTTTTAAATGCGTGTGCAGGGATATTGTACCCAGAATCATTAAGTTCCAGTGTCTCTCTATAGCCTTTGGGTACTAGGATGACTCAAAAATATCAAATGGACTTGGTAATTAATTTCATAAATGTGTATATTTGGATTCTGACATAGAGAAAATAAACATTCCTTTAAAAATAGATATAGTTTTGAATTGACAAAGAATGTGTAAATATGCATGATCACATAGTAATTTTACTCTAAATTAATCATGTGAAAAGTTAGCAAAATGCAATACTTTAGGCGAACCATCATATCATGAAGTTATTTTTACTTCTGAGTCCAAGTTGGGTACCACAGAACCAGGAAGAAGATGAAACCTGCTTTGTAGGGTCACAAATCTTTGTTTCCCACCCAGAAGTGACTGATTTTGTGCAGAAATTGAACGTCTTTCCACATGGATTCTTTTCCCCTTACTACAGTTTTAAAAATGGCCCATTTTGGATTAATTTTAAAATATTTTTGGAATAAAATTTCCAAGCATTTATAAAAATAATGGAATAATCAAAATAAAGCACTTGAAATGGTCACCACTAAAAACTATGTTGGATCAGCGGCTGCTCTTTCAACTGGGCAGCTCACCAGATTAGCCTTGAAAACAGTGTGGAACTCCAGAATCGAAAACCTGCCTTGGGCCACCAGGACCACCCCTCCTGTTCTGGAGATGAAATCATGATGTTAATTGCAACAATGATCATGATCATTTATTGGCAGGAGGCATTCCTAAGGAGTCCAGAGGACAGGGAGTAAAATGAAAGCTTGTCTGCATAGTATCTCCATAAAATGGTCAAGCTTTCATTACCAAGGATGTTATACCTGTGACCCTGGGAGAGAGGCAGTGGTGGGCCTAGAGGGGCCACTACATGGTCTGGCACATTTATAGGGCCAATCACAGCTTGCAAGAGGATTGTGGCTGACATCATCAGATGCCTCCTCACCCTCAGCCCCCACTTCCTTCTTTCTATGGAGTCTGTGAAATCTGAGTTCCATGTCAATATCTAAAGAGCATTAAGGAGAACAGGGAGAAGACACCACACATTCACCATATGGTTATTGAAACGTGGTTTGCAGCTGTGTATGTCACCTTCCCACATTTTCTTTTTGTGGGGTTCAGGAAATACTTTTAGCAAAGGAATGAACTTAGTTCTGCATTTTCTTCCCTGCTGTTTCTGAAATAGCACTAGTTGAAGTTCATGATGAGGCTCCCAAAGGAGAAATATTTTCCTCAAAGATGACACCAGGACATTAGGGCACAGGGACGTGTGCACACACAACACCAGTGTGCCATGTGAAGATGGCCTGCTGGGCACCACCATTCAGATGCAAAGGAATGTTGGGTCGAAGGTACCTGGTCATCCTCTGTCTCTCTGATCTCCACCTGCACCCTGACATTCCAGCAGCCAGGGCTTCTGTACTGCCTTCCTTCATGACAGAGATGAGACAAAAAAGCAAGGGGCCATCTCCTTTTCAGATTTTAGCTTTTGAGTTAAAATTGGCAGTCACTGTCCCATCACACAGATAAGGAGCTCCATTCTCTGTATCAGGTCAACTTCCTTAGAAGCTGCTTCTGTTGCTGGTGGCCACATGTGTGTATGTGGGTGGGAGGGTAACTTCTTAGCTTGGGCTGTATTCAGTCATTACCAGGTTGACCCAGACTCCAGACTCTTCTAGAGCATAAGAGACTCTCAGAGTATCTGGCTCTTCCTTCCTCTCCTTCCTCTCTCTGCTTCTGCCCTGGCAGCCTATGCAGCTGGCATGTGTGACTTCACACCTCAGCTCCTATACCAACCCAAGACTCGGCCCCTCCTGGCCCAGGTTGCTGCTCTGTTGGGTTGAGTTCTGAGCACACAGGATTTCTGACTTTAGGAGCGCATCCCAGCATTGGTGAGCTGGGTGGCCAGGGCTCTCAGCTCCCTCCAGGGCACTCTAGGTCCATGCAACTGCAGAGCCAGCCCTCCTGTCTGCAGCGCCGGGGAGATCTCTGGTGGCCGGGGCAGTGGCTGGGCAGTACCCTAACTCCTTTCTTCCCTCTGTTGATGGCAAAGATTTGCATTGTGTCCACCTCTCTGGGATGCCCTCTCTGTCCTCTGCCCACCAGACTTGGATTCTTGGTGTTTCATGGGAATTTTTGGAGTTCAAGAAATCCTTTTCTTTCTCAAAGACTTGGCTCTTGCAGTTGACCTTCTGGCTCCCAAATCCAGTGGGTACCTTTTGTTTTGTTATGTTTGTTGGCTTTTTAAAGGCTGTTTGCTTTTTAAAAGCTGAGCAATGGCTTCTTGACTTTTAATTTCATCTGTTCTGACTCTAAAGCTGCACTGCCTCTGTTTTGGTTTAGGGAGAAATGGCCATTAGCTAGACACAAACTCACAGAAATTAAAAATGCACTGGGCTACAGATAATCCCAGTACATTAAGGGTATTTTATAGGATGTGATCCCACCCAGGAGCCTCTGTAAATCTCCAGTAAAGGCTACAGACTGGGAAGTCAGGACTCTCAGTTCTAGGAACCAAATATTACGAGAAAATCCTTCCCTGAGGTCTCCAAGTTTCAATGAGTGCAGAGATGGTCAGCTATTTCTCTCTATTGATATAGAGTCAATGTATCTGACTAATAATCACTTTAGGGAGAATGGCTGTGGCCTGTAAACTACTATGTCAAGAACTATTCTAGTGGGCAGATAGGAGGCTGTTTCTTGAAAAAAGTTACAAAAACTAGCTAACTAATCAATTAATTAATCATTTCATTTATTCATTAAACACCTAAGCATCAACACCAATGACAAGTGAATTTCTGGGCAAGGCAATTTTCCTCCTATGACCAAGAGCTGTAAGTGGAAAAGTCAAAGTGAAATATTACTGAATGTCAACATCAAACATAAAACCTTTAAGATGACTAATTGTTAATTCTAAACCAGAAGATATTTTGAAAAGTGGTCTAAGGGAGCTAATGGATTTCATAGTATAAAGTAATGAGCAAAGCAAGAAACACCCTGAAGAGATGTTTTCAGAGTTCAAGACTTAAACCCTTTAAAATCATTTTAAAGATAAAATTTTATTTTATGGAAATCATAAGCCATGTTACTACAAACCCAGTTCACCCTACTGCATATAAAATGGCATCACCTTGCCTCAAGGTAAGAAAATAAAGTTTACTGCTATTGAATCATACTAAAATATTCATCTGTCAGGACTTTGTCAACCATGGTTTTGATGGCATTTAAATTGAATTTAATATAAATTTAAAGGCATCTCCATTTGATGTAATGAATAATGTGGGGTCACCATCAACTTCAATTTTAATACCTTAAATAAAGTCAGTTCCAGCTGCCTTGATGCATTTATGGTAGGGAGTAACTTGTTATAATATATATTTTTAGCACTTTGTTATTTTAAATCTGCAAATAACACCAAGGGCAGAGGTACACTCTCAACTTTAATATCATGCTCTTGAATAGGGTCCGTGAGCAATTGCCAAGTGATTCCTGTCATCGGTCCTTTAGTGCCTGTGGAGGGAGGAGGGCCCCTGGCTGAGTTGCCACCTTGGAAAAAGCATATTTTAAATACACTAATGCGCTGCCTTCCATGCACAGGCCTTCTCTAAATATTTTCTACACGCACAATGGGAGAGGCCAGTACTTCTACTTTTTTGGCATAATATCTTCTTTTTATTTTGTACACATTTAGTTTTATTGTAACAAAGCAACTTGTACACCTTTAACATTTAAAACTGAGCATTATCTTTCATTTCCAGTGAAACAAAAAGAAAATTTAAAAATAAACAGGAACAAAATTACAATAGAGAAATGTCAATTCCAAATAAGATCCTACAGGTTCTACTGATTCTTCCATCGAATGGCAGGGCTCAAGTTATTATTAGGAGAGAATTTTATTTTAAAAGTATCATCTTAGACTGCAAGGATGTCCATTAAACGTCACAATTAAACACCCCAAAGGAGAAGCCATCTTGTCAAAATGCCCACTTAACCCACCCAAACATCTCAAACCCACCCCTTTGTTGGCCTTCTATAACCCCCCATTTTTAAAGTTTTTTTTGTTTGTTTTTGAAACAAGAGAAAGTAGACAGATACATGTTGGTAAATGTTAACTGTACATATTCACATAGAGACACAGTATAATCTCTGAGCCCAATATACAGAGAAAGGAGGAAAAGAGCTAGAATTCTATGCACTTCTACACAGGGGCCTAGCCACCTCCAGCTCCCAGCAGAGCTAAGGGAGCAGAAGGTTTTCTTTTTCCCCACAGAGCATGGTGGTGTTGATTCCATTACATTTGTTCTTGAGACAGGAAGAGATAAAAATGAATTTGGAACAGAAAGGGGCAAAGTTTCTTTTCCCACTGTATCTGCTCAAGGTATATCCCCCTTCCCCCACAAATAAGGTGAGAACTATGGAGTAAAAGGAGAGAAAAGAGATCTCAAAAAACAGGGCAACAGAGCACAAGGTGGGGGGAAGAAAAAGAAAAAAAGACTGCAACTTGCTCCCAGGGACTGGAAAAAATTCAAAAAGGTTGGAATCCATCAGTGTTCATTAGTCATCTTCTCCTTCATCTTCCTCTCCTTCTTCCCTCTCATCAGCATCTTCATCTTCTTCACCTTCATACTCATCCCCTTCTTCATCAATATCTTTCAATCCTTCCTCTTCTTCATCATCATCATCATCTTCTTCTCCTTCCCCTTCTTCATCATCCATGTCAGGAACCAAGTAGTACTGTAACGGATTGGCCAAATGCCATCTTTGATGACTTCTCCTAACTCATCTGCACCTGCATTAGAATGGTCAGTAAACCAGGTAAAGAAGCTTTCTGGTTCTTCATGCTGTCTCTTCCTGCTGGCTTTATTCTGTTTTTGACTTGAACGTTTTGTCAAATCCTTTCCAGATTTCCATTTGATTTCAGTGGACTTTGAAGATGGATCACCACTCTCATTCAGATGAAACTCTTTGGAGAGAACTTTATTTTCGAAGTAAGGATTTTCATCAAAATAATTTTGACCTCTTCTGAAAAAAAGTTTTGGCAGAGTTTGTTATATTTCTGTTCTACTTTCAAAATCTCCTCACTGGCTTGTTCATTAAGTCTGTCCATTTCATTTTCTACTTCTATATGTTCAATCGCTTCTTCCTGTTCTTTTTCTCCCGTTGGCATGCCCTGAGGGGTCTGGCTTGGGGGATGGAGTCATTTCTTTGTTTGAGGTGGGAGCGAGGACTGGCGTTTGGGGGCCATGCTGTGAGGAAAGTCCAAGGATCTGATCGCTGGGAAGTCACCGGGCTGGAAGTTGTGCTGAGACTCTTGGCATAATATTTTCTTACCATTGTTTTGCTGTTCAAAAAAACAGCTGATAAAATCTACTTTTCAGAAGGAGGAGTCTGCTTCATTTCTTGGGGGATTGGCTCACTAATAGTCTAAAGTGTAAGTTGTAGAGATTGTTTTGGTATTTGGTGTCTGTGTCTGTGTGTATCTACTGCCTCTAAAGAGATGTCCATTCATCAACATGACCTTGAGACACGAGTAAGCTATTTAAATAATTAAAAATTGCCTTGGGAACATTTAGGAGGATAAAAAAGTGACACACATAAAAATCAATAGTCTTTCTATGGACCTGTAACAACCACTTAGGCATAAGAAAAGAGAAAGTCTCAGTTAAAATGGCAACTAAGAACGTGAAATTCTTATGCATAAACTTGATAAGCAATTGCAAACTCTATGTGGAGAAACTTTCAAATACTTTCAAAAGCCTATGTGGAAGACTTGACCCAATGGGAAGGTATCCCTTGATCTTTGATAGGAAGACTCAATTCCATGTGAGTTAGCGTATGAATTGAGCACCAATCCAATACACATGCCAGTATTTGTCATAGCGGTGCAATTACTTCTAAATTTTTATGGACAAGTAATTGTGCAAGAATTTCTAAAAAATCTCTATAAAGGATGAGTAAGGAGGAAGGGGATTGCCAGGCCTACCAGATATGGTTCTAGAGCATGGCTAGATAAATAGGCCAGGGGACAGAGGAGGAAACAGATCAAGAAAACAAGCGACTTTCGTTTCTGATAAAGGTGGCATCTCATATTATCAAGGCAAAAATGAATAACATCAAAGGAACTAAATAGGAATTTAAAAAAATGACAAAATTGGACCCATATCTCACTACAGACAACAGAATAAAGTACAAATAAATGGTCAGAGAACTATAAAAAATTAAAATGACACCACAAGCCTATTAGAAGAACACATGGACATTTTTTTTAAACCTGAGTAGTGAAAACTTTCCAACTAGAACTCAAATAAAGATTAAATGAAGAAAATTTAATGAAGTCAACAGTATATAAATGTTTGCCTCCCTCCTCCCACCCTAGAACAGTATGATGAAAAGCAATGGCACACGGAGGAAAGTACTAACAGCTCTTACCCTCCTGTAAGGGCTCAAAACCCTCATTTTAGCGTGGTACTAATAAAAACCCTTATTGATAATACGTTTTAAGCAATCAAGGAACAAAAGAGTGAAACAGTCAATGAAAAAATGTGCAAACATCAAGAAGTGACACTGTATTGAAAAAGCATGCAAATTTCTTCTTAAAACATGGATATATATTTAATGCCATTTGTAGTAAGAGAACTATTACACTATGGAGGGGATTGGGCACTCTCTAGCTAAACTATATGAAGTCCTGATGATGAAACAGTCACTCAGGAGATGAGTGGGGATGGGAGAGGGGATAGAAAGGAAGAGAGAACTCTGCATAGGATGAGCATTTTTTTGCAAGAAGAAAATGTTTTACGTGGTCAAAAATATAATCACATTTTAAAAAATATAAAGGGCAACCCTAAAACTGAACACAAACAGGAACAAATGTTTATTTTCAATTTACAGTTGGGAATCAAGGGTCAACCTAATTTATATGTGGATTTTTAACTGCCAGAGTAGTCGGTGCTCTTACTCCCAGCATTATTCAAGGGTCAGTTGTATAATAAACTAATATAAGTACAGAAGAAAAAAATAACCATTTTGAGTACTTTTAAGCACTGTCCTCTGTGGACCCTTAGCAGAATATCGTCTAGGGCAGTGATGGTGAACCTATGATACGCATGTCAGAGGTGACACTCGAACTCAGTTTTTTGGTTGATTTTTCTTTGTTAAATGGCATTTAAATATATAAAATAAATATCAAAAATATAAATCTTTGTTTTACTATGGTTGCAAATATCAAAAAATTTCTATATGTGACACGGCACCAGAGTTAAGTTAGGGTTTTTCAAAATGCTGACACGCCGAGCTCAAAAGGTTCGCCATCACTGGTCTAGGGCCAGCATAGTATGTTGTCAAGAAATATTTTACGATGGTTTTAACACATGAATTGATTATCACATAGAACAAAGAGCAAAAGTACATGATAAAAAGTAAGACTACTTTTGCCTGGTAATGGAGTGTGTTTATCTGTTTAGCTTTTGGTATTGACCGACTTCATAAAGGACACACTTTTTTAAATGTGCAGGATAAATGAGGCTATTTGTTTTATTCTTTGTCAATAAATGATGATATAAGTGGATTGAGAGGTCAAGAAACAGAATCTAGACTAATAATTACAAATGTCCTTATAGAAAAAGCTCAAGCAAATAAAAGAGAAGCATAATTAGACATAAAATTAAAGAAAATTGTTTTTTTCTTGAAAAAAAAAACAACCTACAGATTTTAAGTGCTTAGGATTTTTCAGGCAGAAATAATGCTTGCAGTTTTATTATTTTTAATTATGGAGATGCAACAAAAGTTAGTGTTCTATAAAGGAAACAGATATTAGGCCTCTCCCAATGTCACAGCTGCACAGAGACTGAGGAAAATACACTCTAATTCTAACATCTTATACCCAATGAAGACAAAGGAAAATTGTTGTCATGGAGGGCGCCTGTGTTCCCTATACCCCCTTTCCAGAGTTTTCAGGTGGCCCCTTGTGCCTCCCCTGTATGGCCACGCCGCTCAGAGGGCTGGCTGCTTGCCCAGCAGGCAGGAGGCCTGACTTTTATAGGACTAACTCCATTCCATGCCTGACCCCTAAGAGGCATGAGAGTTTACCCAATTCAGACAGTGAGACCTTAGGAGAGATTTGTGGAGGCTGCTGGGAAAACATTCTGATTGTGGCACAGAGCCATTTTCCATCCAGAGGGCAGGACTAGGGAGGAAGCTCGCAGTGCTGCGGGACACTGGCCACCCCATTGTGACCATGAGGGCTTCCAGCCGGGGACAACACTAATTCTCCATGTCTTAACAGCAGTTCTCAACCTGTGGGTCGCGACCCCTTTGGGGGTCGAATGACCCTTTCACAGGGGGCGCCTCAGACCATCAGAAAACACATATATAATTACATATTGTTTTTGTGATTAATCACTATGCTTTAATTATGTTCAATTTGTAACAATGCAATTGGGGGTCACCACAACATGAGGAACTGTATTAAAGGTCGCGGCATTAGGAAGGGTGAGAACCACTGTCTTAGCACAAGAGGCAAATCAGACCTCAGTGCACAACTAGTTGGTCCCCCTTGTTCCAGCCTGTTGGTGTAGGGCAAGCATGTCAAACTCAAAGGCTAACTTCGGTCAAATAAACACGGTTTAAGTTTATGTGGGCAGCAAAAAAACAAAAGCTTAAATTTTCATAGAAACGTAGGTTTATTTCAATAGAGACATACTGAATACAAATGGCTGAAATAAATGAGTAATCGTTAACATAAAATAATAGAACATTTTAATAAAAATTAATATTATAGTAATCAGCCATTAGCAAACGTTGTAGTAGAATATTGTAAAAATCAAGTTACAAAATTTTTATTAAAAGGTTTCTTACCTACTGTTATATTGGCTGGGCTGCAAAAATATTCCTTGTGGGCCGGCCGCAGGCTGAGAATCTGACATGCTTGGTGTAGGGCCTTTGTTACTATAGCGAAAAACTTCTCATTGACACAGGCATGCCACCTGGATCACACGGTTCACACAGCATGCTACTTTTTTGAAAAGCAGAACTTTTTGATAGGATGCCTAGGAAGAGTAGGTGTTGAAGCAAACAGGAATGGGGAGGACAGGCCAAGACTCAGCAGAGGGCATTGGAAAGTGACATTGAGTAAATGCAAAATGCTGCAGGAGAGGTGGTGGCCAATGGGAGCAAGATGGAGAACCTGGTTCCTCAAAGGAGGGTGGTGTGCGTCTTGGCTCTCAAGTTTCATCAGGAAAAGCTGGGATATTGGGAGATGGTAAAAATGGACTAAAATTTTATCTCTTCAAGGTCTTACCCAAGAAGAAGCTGTGAACTTCATCTTATCTGCCTAAAGGATGAGAAGATCCAGAGCCAGGAAGGGAAGCCCGCCACTCAAGCCCACTATGAAGCAGCCTGCAACAGTGTGGCCCACAAGGTGGTGAAGCTGGGCTTGGGGGCAAAGTCACAGTGATGATGGTGCTGAGAGGGCAATGAGGGCACTGCCACCCAGGAACATGGCAAGGAATTGACATCAAAGGTTCACTTGTATGTGTACCCATTACGTGCATTTTGTGTACTCATGGGGGACGCTCTCATGACTGTAAATAGGTCCCTTTGTTTCTAAAAATAAAAATTTTATCTTTTGTGAAGAGATAAAATGACTTTAATTTTTAACTTTAATAGTAAAAATATCAACTAAGCAATTTCTAAACTTAAAGTAGCCATGTGAAGAATTAAAGGCAGGATAAATATATCTTGCAGATTCCCAGAGAAGATAAAGTAAAAATAAATCAGATAGCAAAAGATAGCAAACATCAAAGACATTTTTTAAGTCAAAAATAATTGGCCAAAGGCCTAACATGTAATTTTGTAATAAGAGTTGAGTAAAAGGAATGAAACATGTACATATATAGAAAAGACACTGAAGTGGAAGATCTAAGCCAATGACTTGCAACAGGTGTGCCTCGAGAATTTTAAAACATGCAGTGCCTGACTGTTTAGAGCAGGGGTCCTCAAACTTTTTAAACAGGGGGTCAGTTCACTGTCCCTCAGACCATTGGAGGGCCGGACTATAGTTTAAAAAAAAACAAACAAACTATGAACAAATTCCTATGCACACTGCACATATCTTATTTTGAAGTAAAAAAACAAAATGGGAACAAATACAATATTTGTATTTGCATGTGGCCCGCGGGCCGTAGTTTGAGGACCCCTGGTTTAGAGGCACTGACCTCTTTTCCCTTAGATCGCAAAATAAAAAATGACGTCAATGCAACAATAGCTGTCTGATGTTAATGAATCAAAACTATACCTATTCTTTTGTCACATTGGCAAAAAATATAACATATTGTGTTGTATACCAAAGAATTTTAGTAATTAGTTTATGTGTGCCATGAGATTAAATTTAAGAGCTAGTCAAATCACATAGGTGATTTTACTTTCTTTCCAGTTTTTTTTTTGTAATGGATGAGTTCATTTATAGCTATGAACGTTGCCAAACTTGAATATATTGATATATATTTATTTTTACATGTTTATTTATACATATTTGTTACACACTTACGAAAACTATGGAAACATATCTTTGGTTTTATCTCATGAATAATGGAGTTTGCCAGTGGCCTAGCTTCTTGGCCATGGTGTGTCCACCTGTTGTACCATCTCATTCGCACACTGCAGTGTCCCAGGCTCTGAGGAGGTGATACTAACAGTGACCACCAGATCATTCCTCGTCTTCTTGGATGAGTGGGTCCCCTGATAAAGAAAACCCCATGTGACCAATGACAAAGGCCTTAGAGGCACTGGGCTTCCGCTGTGGATCCCAGCTGGTCTCCATCTGAGAGGGAAGAAGGGTGTGGGTCCCGGGCTCACAGAGTCACTCACCATGCATTGAGCACCCTCGGGAAGCTGCCGTAGCTGCAGTGTGGATTCGGGGTGCCCTGTCCTGCAGGGGCTCTTCACTCCAGGCTTCCATAACAATGCAAGCCGGTCATTAGTAGTGACCACACATGCTGGCCCCCCTTGTCACCCGAAAGAGTTCGTTTTCTAAGAAGAAAATATGTCACATTCCTCTATGCCGGGTGGAGGAGGTCAGTGTTCGTGATGGAAAGTGAGAAATCTGGGCGACGTCATCAGCAGAGCCTTGCAGGCAGGTCTCACACACGCTGGGACAGCTGCCGCAGGACGAGGAGCGCGTCTTCGCCACGTGCCCGCGCCACTTGCTGATCACTTCTAGGGGGAGAATGTCACACCAGTGGTTACTTAGAATATGTGAGAATGTGGCCTGGTTTCCAAAATAAGCTGCTGGTAATTCTCGCTGTATTTAATGTCCAGCTGTTTTGTTTATTTTTTTTCCCCTGTGGTTTTTTTGTTTCTCATTCAACATCTGGAGGAGCTCATTAAGTTAGGGGATGATGCGAAGGTTGAGAGAGTGTCTTCTAATTAAAGGAAAGAAAACTAATTAGGAATACATCCAGAGAGAAGGGAAAACAGCAATTGTTTTTCTTAACACGCAGGGCGACTGGATGGAAGAAAAGGTGTGTCACTCACGTGTGGAAATCCACGTAAACTCATGAATCAAAGTGTGCAGATATCATAGAAGGGCTCCGTGTCCTAAATTTGGCCTAATCCAAACTTCTTTCTTCTTATTATTAATAAGGTCATGTAATCTTGACTACTGCAGTAATTGCATTTCTCATGTTTTCTCCTTACCATCATCATAAATTTTTAAGTGTCACAAAATGGCCATTATCTCTGTATCTCTACTCTGTACTGACCCCTCTCCCTCTGGGTATCCCTTGAATTCCTCAGAGGAAGACCCCACATCATCCCCACTCTCCACCTACACTGTCATACTAACCCTTTTGGTTTTTTTCCAAGAGGCATTTTAATAAAAGTTCCACAATGTCTCATTCATGCTTTAAAATCTTTTATACTGGGTTTCCCCAAAGCAGCTTGAGGGAAGGGTTTAGGGTTGGGAGTTTGTCTCGGGGGTGGTCCAGGAGGCCTGGTCAGGTATAGAAGATTGGTTCTCCTCGGGACATGCCTGAGGGGGCCCACAGCAGGTGAGCAAGCTGGAGTATTTATTCACAGATCTGGATATCTGTGGTGTAGGGACCACCTGGTGTATCTCCAACAGTGGAGGAGCAGGCTGCAGAACTTGTTCAGGGACATCATCCATGGCCGCGGGGATGTCTGAAGCTGTTGAACACAAGGATGAACAGGGAAGCAGGGCCCAATCTTTTGTTTTAAAAATGCAGACGCTGCCCAGCTGGCGTGGCTCAGGGGTTGAGCATCGACCTATGAACCAGGAGGTCACGGTTTGATTCTTGGTCAAGGCACATGCCAGGGTTGTGGGCTCGATCCCCAGTGGGGGGTGTGCAGGAGGCAGCCGATCAATGATTCTCTCTCATCATTGATGTTTCTATCTCTCTGTCCCTCTCCCTTCCTCTCTGAGATCTATATCTATATCTATCTATCTATCTATCTATCTATCTATGCAGACGCAGCTCTGGCCTGTGTTGCTCAGTGGGTTAGGCATTGTCCCATACACCAAAAGGTTGCTGGTTCGATTCCTAGTCAGGGCACGTGCATGGGTTTCAGTTTGATCCTCAGTAAATCAGCTGAAATCCAGGAAGGAAGGAGCTGATTGATGTTTCACTGACACATTGGTGTTTCTCTTTCTCTCTCCCTCTCCCTCTCTCTCTAGAAAAAAACAATTAAAAAATCTTTTAAAAAATGCAGACACATTTTGCTTTTGTGTCATCAAAATTTAAGCTTTAAAAAATGTTTTACATGTTGTCACACAGCATGACTCTGTCTACAAAGGGAGACCTGTATCCCCCTCCCCCGCCCCCTGCCAACTGCCATGTGACAG